AGAGGCTCAGCCCGGACGCTTTTAAAGAGGTAGTGCCCCTGTTTCGCACCTGGGACCGGACTGGCAGACGTGGGTCTGGGGGACTGAGCCCAGCACCGGGCCAGGGCGCGGGGTCTCCCTCCCCGGCGTGCAGCCCACACGTGCCCTGCGCCCGCCCACCTGACACACTGCTGGCGCCCGCTTTCTGGCAGTCCCAGGTCTCGGTCCAGCTCTGCGGGGACCCTCGCACACACCCGCCCCAAGGGAGCAATCTGGTTTCCTCTTTCAACCCTTTGCTGCATCCCCACTGGAGACGTCCCGGAGGCGAACTGAGGCACAGACTTACCCAAGGTCACCAAAGCTGGCAGAGCTCCCAGCCACCTGAACGGCTCTGTCTGTCCAGGCGCCCTCCCCGCTCTACGCCTTCAGCAGGCGCTCGCTCTGGGGATGCCTGGAGAATCCAGGGCCAGCCCGTCAGGTCCAGGGGGATGGTAGCTGGCTGGGACTCTACTCCGGCAGCCTGCACCTCCGTCGCCCCCGGTGCGGAAGCTGAGTGACAATCCTGCTCCGCACACCCAGAGGGGGCGGGGGCGGCGGCTGCACCCGCGGGCCCCTCCCTCCTGGCCCTCTGTCTCCTCCCCCCCCCCCTCCTCTAAACAAAGGCGGTGATTCTGCTTGAGAAAAGCCGGGAAAATGTGAGCTTTTCCGCAACGTCTGATGTGTGAATCCAGTCTCGGGAGCAGACAGAGGTGCAGCCTCCCTGGGTTCACTCTCTGCCTTCCAAAATGTGACATGCCCAGAACGGCTGGTCTGGCCTCCAGCGATCCCTCCACGGGTCACAGCAAAGCATCTCACCTGAAGGACTCCAGGATGCCCCTCCTTCTCCGCTTCCTCCAATAGTCAGTTGGAAGCCTTGGCACCCTCCTCCACCCCTCAATCCTGAAACCTTGCTCTCCCAAGAAATCGGCCCCTTGCATATTCCTAGGAGCTTCCAGCACACGTTGCTTTGCATCGCTTTGCCATCTCTATCCTGAGTCATTCATTACATTCCTTTCTCCTGTATATTTCATAACTGCCTTTTAGTCTTAGTAATTTCCACTTTACAGATGAGAGCACTGAGGCTCAGAGAAGTGGCCCAGCTTCCCAAGGGCATCTCCACCAGTGTCGCCCCCTTTGTGCCCATCATCTTTCCTTCTTCTCCCTCTTCATAGAGCAGTACTTAAGCCATAAGGTCTCCCATCTCATTTCCTCATGTTATTGATAAAGAAGCAGACTCAGGGAAGGAAGGGACGTTCACAAGCCCCCACACAAATCCTAACAAGACCAGAGTGAGAAAACAGGCTCCTGGCTCCCAGCACGGAGCTCTCCCCACTCTGCTCCACCCTGATCCTTTGCTCGGCTGTCTCCTGCTGCAGTGTAAGTGGGCCACCGGTACTGACTAAGGACTACCCCAGGGCAGATGCTCACTCAGACCAGGTGCCTTACAGAGATCGCAACCTGAGAAATCCCTGTACACGAATATTGGGGAAGGGCCCTGGGAGAGCAGAAAGTCAGACTGGGGGGCTCCGTGCCACCTAGCCACACCTGCGCTCTTGTCGGGTTTCAGGATGTCAAGAGAGGGGTTCTGCTAAGAAGAGAGCGCCAACTGAAATCTGTCTCTTGCCATCTGCCTCCACAGGGATTAGATAACTAGCCCCTGCAGTCACTGACCTTCAACACAGGAGTTCAGGGCAGAGATCAGGAAGGAGGCAAACTGTGCGCTGGGAGAGACTGGCAGAACAGACCTTCAGACAGTCAGACGTTTTGAGGAAAAGATTTTATGAACCCAATTTCTTGCATCTTCTTACATCTAGAAAAGTACTAAATTCATGAACAGAGACATCTGCTCCTTGTGACTAGCAGCAACCTTCTGCCAAAATGTGTGCTTGATTGCGTGCATCCCCCCTGCACTAAAATCATATATATACTGACCTCCCCCACCTACCCCCTCAGAGCAGTTCTTTAAGCTATCTGAGGGGCTGTCCCTCAGGCTAGAGTCTTCATTTTGCCCCAATTGAAACTTCACTCGCAACTCATGTTGTGCTTCTTTTTTTTTCCAGCCTACAGCTTTGACAACCAACAAAGGGACCCAGAGCAGACTCCTCTCCTTCACCTGAACTCTAGGAGGAACAAGAACTTGGTACCAGCAGGGGCCCCTTGGGCCCCTCCACCTCCTCAGAGGGTCTAGATGAATTTGGATGACTTGCTCCTGGTTCTCAGATCTCCCATAATCTTTGGTGACCCTGAGTTTGTAACAGGTATCTGCCCCTCCCCACTCCCAGGTGAAAGATGTTGGGGGAGGGGGCCTGGTTGAGACACGGAGGCTTGCTCGGTTGAAAGACACTGAGCTATCTGTGCTGAATGGTCAGGTAAGAGGTTCATCTGGCACCTTTCCTCAATTCGGCTACCCTAAAAGAATTTGTTGGGATAGAAGTGAAGATACGATATGAGAGCTTTGCTCCAAAGAAGGGGGACAAGACTCCCCCTGTGGTTACAGGCTTTCTCAGGCAACTGAGGAATTTTTAGGAGTGGTGGAGGCAGCGTCCTCATATTGTGCAGTGGTCCCATAGGGAAACCTACTCATTAATCAAAAGACTTACTCATCCAGAGATCAGGTTTAAGAACTGGCCATTCGGTGATCCAAGCACCCACGGTGGTCTTAGACCACTGAAGGGAGAAACTGAGTCACGTAAAAGGGCTGAAACAACTCTAGAGTGACACTTAGAGGCGTTAAGCGCACAGGTAGCACGCCGGCCCAACTGCAATTTCATTAGTAAATTCCATCCCTGAAAAATTCAACTAATTCAACTTTAAAACGGGAAACAGAATCTCTCAGAGAAATAAGAGGTGTCAGAAAGCCAGCTTCTGACTAACACTCCAGCCAGGTTTATGTAAGAACAAAAGTTATACTTATAAGTCCTTACTTAATAGGGAATTAAAGGAAAATTTTGCCATGAAAGTGGCTGATATGAGCTCTTTTATTGTGTATGCACTTGTTAGAGAAAGCCGGCTTGATAAAACACCTTTTCGGACTTCTGACCCCGAGAGAATGAGCCCTTCTAGAAGCATTTGCTCTACTCTCCCTGTGCCTTGAGACCAGGTTCTCAAGAACACTTACCTTCTCTAGACTATCGCTAATTCCTGAGACTGAGGGAGAAAAGCAGGGGCAAGAAGCCTTTTAAATAACTATTATGAACTAGTGAGTTTTATATTGTAATACCTCACTCACGACTAAGTTTTAAAATGAAGCTGTGACTCAATTTACAATAGCCAGGACATGGAAGCAACCTAAATGTCCACTAACAGATGACTGGATAAAAAAGTTGTGTGTGGGGGGGGTGTGTGTATACATACACACACACACTATTCAGCCATTAAAAAAAGAATAAAATAGTGCCATTTGCAGCAACATGGATGGACCTGGAGATCGTCATTCTAAGTAAGTCAAAAAGAGAGAGAAAAATACCATAAGATGTCACCAATATGTGGAAACTTTAAAAAAGACAAATGAACTTATTTACAAAACAGAGACAGACTCACAGACATAGAAAACAAACTTATGGTTATCAGGGGGAAAAGAGGGTGGGGAGGGATAAATTGGGAGTTCAGGATTTGTAGATACTAACTTTTTATATATAAGATATATATAAAATAGGTAAACAACAAGGTCTTACTGTGTAGCACATGTAACTATATTCAATACCTTGTAATGGCCTACAATGAAGAAGAATATGAAAAGGAATGTATACATATGCATAAATGAATCACTATGCTGTACATCAGAAATTAACACAACATTGTAAATCGACTACAACAAAAAGAATTTTAAAAATAAAATGAAGCTGTTAAATCAAATGAAGCTGGGATCTCTGGTAATGTCTGTCTATATGTTTATGTGTGCATATATGTCTATACCTTTAGATGGTATTAAATCCACTTAATTGGCTTAAAGAAAATTAAGCACTTATATAAGTTCTCAGAAATCTAGAAGTACACTGGCCAGAGTGAATTTCAGGTTTATGTGAACTAGGAAATATTCAGTATTAAATAAATGACATTAATTTATATATGTCTTTAGAGTCATCAGCATTAAATATAATACTTTAATTGTACCTACATGTAACAGAAGCCGAGTAAGATCTTATTGTATCTGTTGCAAATTTGTCAGCAAGAAAAATCACTTGATACGATGAAGTTTTTATAAGTGAAAAAGTATAAAAAAGAGAATGGCTTTGGGGTGAACTGTTTAGGAATATTATGTTTTAGGACTGTCTATTTAAAAATAATCTCTTCAGATATCTGGTAAGTTAACATTTTACAGTTGTGCTAAATTAAGTCAAATGATGGACATTTATTGAATAGTTAGGTCATTCCCAAATAAAATAACATAGTAAATCATTAATTACTGAACATCAGTTTTCTTTTAGAGAAATTAAAAGTATTAAGGACTGTTAAACATACGTTTGGTGCCACACTGAGATATTTTCTATACGAAAACACATGGTTTTAGAAACTATTATTGGTATTTATGTCTGTCACTCTACAGAATGCTAGTGTAAAAGACAGTTCATAATCGCTTACTTCTTAGTTTTCACTAGAAATTAATGTTTATAAGAGTAGAGGATTCTAATTCAAATATGTCATTAATGCTACTAGAAATAATAAAGGAAACATTTCAGTATACAGTAGGAAAGTAAGATGTGTGTTTTCAATGAAAGAAGGTATGAAGAATGGAATCACGTTTTATTAAGGGACAATAAAGTAGTTTTGTCCTGGAGCTGGTTGCTTCTGGATGGAAAAAATAAGGAACAAACTAACATGGATACAGAAAGCGATGGAAGAATTGTGGAAAAGGAAACTCTGAGAAAAGTTTTCTGCATGGCCAGAATTGGCTAAGTTTGGAATAAATTTGATTGAGTAAATACACTTTAAAAGTAAGCTGGTGCAAAACTTGAATCTGGTTTTTCTCTGTTAAGAAAACAATTTTTTAGTTAAAATGTTAATCTGATTTTGATAACAGATTTTTTTTTTACATTTTTATTGATTCATAATCACTCTACAGTGTTGTGTCAAATTCCAGTGCCCAGTACAATTTTTCAGTCATACATGGACACATACACACTCATTGTCACATTTTTTTCTCTGTGATTTATCATAACATTTTGTGTATATTTCCCTGCGCTACACAGTGCAATCCCGTCCATCTGTTCTACAATTTTGAAATCCCAGTCTATCCCTTCCCACCCTCCACCCCGCCCC